ATGAGGTCAAAACAAGATGGCAACTGATTTCAAATGCTGACCTGCAGAACAAAGAGTTTTGCAAGAAGAATGGCTGTCTCTGATAAGTTGAAATCCTGAGGTGTTGATCTCAACAAAGAAACCACATTCCAGGCCAAACTTCAGAGCAGTATAACAGCAAAACACTCTCAAAATGCTGAACAATTTAAACAAGTTAACAATACAAATAGTTAGATACCATCAAAACTATTAGTCTATGGTCGTCCGAGCAACTCTCACGCTATTATGTGACCAAATGGGAAGCCAGTCAAACACTATTAGAAGAATATCGTCTATCTAACGCACGAGTGCCGCATTTCTTTCCGTAATGCACACGCAATGATTAAAGAGTATACTTCGGACTTCCACAGACTCTTATCACCAATTAAACAAGAGACCATCTCACTTATTTGGGACAATGAAACAAGAAGATTCCATCTGTTCTTGAGACTAAAAAACGAGAAGATTCCATCTATTTACTCGTCAAACACAATATAATATAAAAATACCGGCTCAAAAGCACATTAATATATATCCGGCTTGGAAAACACACATTAAAATCATGCAGTTAATTAATGAACAAAGAAAAGAGAATAGAGACTTACCCTTGCTTGGTCTAAAACAACGCCACGTGATGTGGTTTAAATTTAGATATTTAACATGAAATTAACAGCTGTTCTCAGGATGTCCTGCTCGCCACAAAACACACAAATCTAATGGTTCTAAGTAAGCTATTGAAGAATTTGATATAACTGGTTTCTTCCCACCTGTTGTATTTGGGCCCTTGTGTGTCTTTTGGTTCGCAGAATCTCCGTTGAAGCTAGCCGGTTCCTCTCCCGGATTGCTATCACGTCGGGGTCACCAACTATTGATGAATTGTGATCTTCTCGCTCCCAGGAAAGAAACTTAAAATAATGAGACTAATGGAGTCTCTGAAAAGGTTTAAATGGATACTTTAATTAAGTAACATCGTTATAGAACAAGCATAGGTAAGGAAGAGACAAAAGCCGGTGTTGTCCCTCGGGAGGCTGCAGCGAAGTAGAGAGGTCGTGATGTCCCCTGCGATCTGATTTATACTCCTCTCGTTCTCTCCCGCTGTGTAGATTGGGGGACCGCCCTCCACTGTCTTCAATGTTCGACATTGCGTGAAACAGAGGATTTTGACATTTTGTATTCATTGCTTACTTCCATAAGCCTTTTCTCCTCCTTATCTCTTTCATGACTTTTTATTTAATGCTTTATAACAGCTGTAATAGTTAGTTTAATAATCATGGAAACACTTTACGACACAGTTCTCATTTACGACACAGTTCTCATTTACGGTAACTCCTTCTGACTTCATGACCACGTATGTAAACAAAACTTTACAATCAACTGTACCTTCAGTTAATATTCAGCAGTAATACTATCTCGACGTCTATAGATGTAATGTTAAAGTCAGTAGGTTTTGGTGTGCAACAGTCCGTGTCATTTTCACTTCACATTCAGAAAACGTAATATTAGCCACATGCTAAATACTAACCGGAGATGAAGGATTTTCAGAATAAAAGCTTGGCATTGAGATCTTATGAGAACTTATGAAAACAGCTTTTAAACTGACGGTATGTTTTAGAACAACAGACAGCGACACAGGTATGGCGAGCCAGCAGTGGTTGAAACAAAGCGGTATAATAATAATAATAATAATAGCTTGCATTTATATAGCGCCTTTCAAGGGACCCAAGGTCGCTTTACAGTAATAGGGCAAAAACAAACATAACAAAACAAAAGTCAGACAGACAAAACAACAGATCGATTAGGGGCCGAAAACATGGTTTTGACTGGCGCGAACGGTCGGGAGTGAAGATCAGTTGAGAGCCGTTTCTGTGACTCCGCCCACTGCTGCTCTTCTGAGAGGGTTAGTGCTATATCGTATACCTCCTGGGTTTTAGGCAGAAGTGACGTAATCTGCCACCCAGGACAAGAGACGAGTATATTAAATGTTTTATTTTCGGTTGTGTATTTGTGTTTCCAGGTATAACATTTAAGTTATAATAACAATCATAATTTGTGGAATAATTTCATTATGGTATTTTAGTTTGTTTCAGCTGAACTTTTGTATTGGATGTTGCAATTGAATTTCTCCAAGAGAGACAAAAATCACTAAAAGATCTGGTGGATATCTGACCAGTATTTATATATATCCTAAATGTTCTTTGGGTTTTAGCCACAAATGCAACACAAATAAGAACTGTAAGTTATTATTTCATTATCAAACCATTATTATTGAAATGTAAGTATATTTCACACATTTTAATGTTGTTATAGAGTATGATCTCATTATTCGTTAATGAACCTCATATTTGTGACAAGACATGCGTGAGCGGAACTCCCCTCTATTTAGGGTAAACGTTAAACTTTTAATACAAAAGTTGCCAACTTCTCATCCACGATTAAGTCACCTCCGCCGCCTAAAACCCAGGAGGTATACGATCTAGCACTAACCCTTGAACCGCTCTGAAAAGCTCTCTCTACTGGGAAACACGCTAAAAGTCCTTCTGGAGGTAAGCAACGCTACACAATTTCACCCAGTCTGAGAGTAAAAGCTTTCTCAAAGGTTCGTTTTGCTTTCTTACAACGTTACGTTAATGTTAACTTAATCTTAAGTTTGCTAGGAGGCTATTGTTACTTCCCTTAACAAGAGCTAGCTGTCTTAGGTAACAACAGTTAGCAGCTAACGTTTCTGCAGTTTGGGTTGACCTTGAAAAACGTGATGTAGTTCTTTAAGGGTAAGTTAACTTAATGTTATCTTACAAGTTGAGAGAGTTAAGTTTTGTTTAAAATCGTCAATGTTATGCTCGTTAGAGGTTTTTTGTTGAACATGAAGTTAGCTAACGTTAGCTAACTCTACCAAAGGTTGGCATGTTAAGCTGTACTTTCTGTGGCAGCTAGCTTAAAGGAGAGGTGTCATGCTTTTCCGGTTATTACCCGTCCCCTTGTGTGTTATGAAGGTTTTTATGCATGTAAACGGTCTGCAGAGTCACAAACCCTCAAAGTACACCCTGTAGCGAGTAAAACTCTAACACAGAAAATACCTCCCCAAAACGCCTCGTTGGAGATACGTCATCGTCCATTTGATTCTTCCGGGCACGGCATGATGTAATGCCGTACCCGGAACGAAATGGACCAATCCGTGGAGCCGTTACGTTACGTCCGCGGAGCCGTTACGTTAAGCCCCCGCTGATTGGTCCAAATTGACCAATCCACGAACTTCCTCACACACAGGCAGCTCTGCTGATTTCTCCTCCCTGGCTGCAGGCTGATAACAGACAGTTGGGATCGCGGCGAAATTCTCTCTGCAGACCCATTCTCACAGCGTTTATCAACCTTTTTCTTACTCAATATCAAGCCACACTTATTGTTTTTACTTCGGCTGTGAGTTTGTGTGTGCTCAGGATGAGTTTGGCTGTGTTTCGCTATGTATCTTAAACAAGGAAACAACACCTCCACGGAGCTCAGCGCGATTCACAACGTCCCGACCAATCAGAGCACACTGTGCTCACAGGGAGGGTGGGGGCTGGAGCTATTGGAGCTACAACGAGCCGTTAAAGGCAGATAGTGAAATTCAGTGAATACACGTAGTTTACAGAGATGCTGTATGAGAAACCAATGTGAGTTTGGAAAAATGCACAGTATAAATCTATTTTAGTATACCTCAACAATGGAATTATGATCAGTGGAAATGGCCATGACACCTCTCCTTTAATACAAAGAGGGGTTTTGTGCTTCATTGTAAACTTTTCTTACAAATGTGTGTTAATCTACCTGAAACTGGAGAGACAGTTTTTTTCTACTCAACTATTCAGACCATTGTTGAGGAGATGCAAAACATGCTTTACATGAGTTGGGTCCGACATATACTTTGAGTAATGTTACTTTGCTTCTAAAAAATATGAAACATCATTATCAGATGAGGACATTATCAAAGTGTGTGAGTCTGTGAGGGGATTTGATCTGTTTTCTGCATGTCGTACAGGGCCTATGTACACACTCCTCTGGTATTAATTATCTTACTTATTTCTAAATGGCTCTCTATTTTATCCCTTTTTCTACACCATCGTGTTTCAACATGATGGTATATGACTCATAAATCATAAAGTAGCACACCCAGGGCATGATACATTTTAGATTATATATTTATCCACTGTTTCCTTTGTCTCAGTGACGTGCCACAAAAAGACTTCCTGACGTCTATTAAACGAAATATTCTGTAGTGTTCATTTGCAGCCAGGCAGGGAAAGCATTGGCGCTCATAGTCAAAGACTCTTTATGCACATAACCTTCATCTTACACTGCACTGTAACTTTAATTATTGTATTTTTACCTGTATCAACTTTATCTTGTTTTAATTAGTATTCTCCTGGCTTTTAATGACTTCATCTTAAGTGTTTGTTTTCTTGTGTTGTTTTTTTGTAAAGCATTTTTCAATTGCCTTGTGTTAAAATGCGCTATATATAAATAATATATTCCAAGTCATGAGAGGTGAGAGAACTCAAACGCCTCTGGTTGTAGAGCTCAGTACAACTTTAAAACCCTGGTGAGAACTAGTTCTCACGCATATGAACCATGATATAATGAGGGACCTTTTTGTAGACTGGTCAAAGTACGAAAGAACAAACCCATAAATAAAATAGATGGATAAAAGATTAAGGAAATTGTTTGAGGATATATCTTAAAATTGTTGTGAGTGACAGCGCATGAATATGAGTATGATCACATTGATAGTACAGACTTTATTGTTCTTTGTCCGTGACACAGTAACCGACTTCCCTACAAATATTGTTCTGGCATCATTCCTGATTGCTGATAACTGCCTAGGAAGGTGCACCCATGTCATTAAACTGGAAATATGACACACACAAGAGGATAATAACATCCGGCTGTAAATAGTTATTTTTCTTAGAAAGTCTCTCAGTTGTCTCTACAGGGCATTTCTCACAAAAAGTCAAATTAAACTCAGCTCTTTATGCAAAATGTGTTTTATTACAACATGTAAATAACTGGATTGTTGTTCAAATGCAAGCATTCAATTTGTACTTTTAACACATTTATAAAAGAATGAAACTATAGATCTGTTCATTTGTACAATCCTTCGTTTTTCTTTTTACAAAATTCTTCCTGATCAATAAGTCCTCTGAGATTTAAAGTGCAAAGTGTGTGATGAAGTAAGTAACGTTGATTATTGACAGAAGCTCCTCTTCAGAGAAATCAGTCACTCATTCTGGGGAGAGAAAATGTAATTCAAAATATGAACCCCAAGTTTAAATGTATTATGAGTCTTTTTAATTACTTAATAAACTAAAATAAGTAGTTGAGAAAGCATGCATTTGGGAAATTATATTCACGTTTGAACAGAGCAGAAAATGACATTCCTATTGCGTTATCATTTACCTGCATTTGCTCATATACCCAGTTGATGAAGTAGGAAACGTTTCCGTAGACTCCCGGTTTGTTCCTCCAAGCACATCCAATCCCCCAGCTAGTGTCCCCCACCAGCCACCATACATTGGCTTCCTTGACCACCAGGGGCCCCCCACTGTCCCCCTGTAGGGCACAGGAGGAAGACTCTCAGGTGTTGGTGTCTCAAATCAACAAAAATACATGTATCTCAGGGGCCTTTACAGTGTATATAGATCATCATCATACATGACAGATATAAATGTTGTGGGACCATTTAGTTGGATTAGTTTAGATTTTAGGGTATGTTAGTGTTAGCTTGAAATGATTAGGTATAATATATGAACTATCTCTGATTCTAGATGTGTTCGAAAGATATATTATAGATACTTGTGTAGTGTCCTATATTCTAAAATCTTCAGATAGCTTGTTGGGGCGTCTTTTTTACATATCTCAAATACGTCAAATTATGGAACTTGTAATTAAATGAATTGTATTTAATTAATTGGAAAAAAACACAATAAAATCACAAAATAGACAACCCAAATTAGGAAATAATGATGTGAGAGTATGAAATAAAAGATCCAGGAGGCTGAGCCAGCCCTAACTATAAGCTTGATTAAAAGAGAAGTCTCAAGTCTTGTCTTAAATGGGGAGAGGGTGTTTTCCTCCAGAACCCAAGCTGGGAGCTCTGGCTCCTGTTTTGGAGACTCTGGGAATGCTAAGTGGGGTTATGAGGAACTAGCTCTTTAAGGTAAGGGGCGTGACCATTAAGGGCTTTTTAGTCTAGGAGGCTGGATTTCTGTTGAAAGCCAGTGCAGAGCGGCTAACATGGAAGTAATACATTTGTTTTTTTCTTGTTCCTGTCAGTATAAATACTGCAGCATTCTGGAAAGATGTTTTGGGACAGAATGACAGTAAGAAATTGCAAGCATCCAGCCTTGAAGTAATACAAGAGTGAACAAGTTTTCTGCATTGTTTTGTGACAGGATGTTCCTTACATTCTACATGGTGTGTGTGTGTGTGTGTGTGTGTGTGTGTGTGTGTGTGTGTGTGTGTGTGTGTGTGTGTGTGTGTGTGTGTGTGTGTGTGTGTGTGTGTGTGTGTGTGTGTGTGTGTGTGTGTGTGTGTGTGTCACTTACCTGACATGTGTCCACTCCTCCCTGCAGTTTTCCGGCACAGATCATGGTCCGAGTGATTTGTCCCTCCAACACCTGGGGCCTGTTACAGTTCTCTCTGCTGTAGATGGTGACCTGGGCCTGGTTCAGTCTGTCAGGGGTGGGCCCTTAGAGAAATGAATAATCACAATGACAACTTTTGTCATGAATGCTCAATCATTTATGTTGTTGCAAGTTTGATATGAAAAACTGATTAAGTAGTTTAAAAAAACATATTAAAAAAAGAGTGTTGGACATAGAGCCTCACCAGATGATCTCAAGGCTCCCCACCCTGTGATCCAGGCTGGATGTTCGGAGAGGTCCACGCCAACGTTGGGGAGACACACTGGCTTCACGGTTCCTGAGACACAATCATGTCCATGTGAAGGGTTGTGGTTTTGCTCATCAATGCTGACAGTTCAAAATATCATTTAATAAAGTCATATGACTTCTGCTGGCAAGTACTTACTTGTAAATGACAGGGGTCTGACAAGCTTTAGCAGAGCAATGTCATTGTCATTCGTTTTTGTGTTGAATTTCTCATGGCTTATAATTTTGTCAACTGTTTTGCCAGAGCCAAAGTGCATCTGATAGAGGCTGACATCACCAGAGTATACCAACCACTCCCCAGGATTGGAGTACCTGCCATGAGGTTAAAAAAAGTCAAAGATAAGAAGAGTGTCTATAACACATGTGTCAAACTCAAGGCCCGGGGGCCAAATCAGGCCCTTGGTGGATTTAATTTCGGCCCGCAGGATAATTTCTAATTACTATTAGATCTGGCCCGCCGGTATATTGCACGCACACCTTCACTCAATCCTGAGGATTTCCTCAGCTCAGAGCCTGAGCCCAAACATTGATGAACTTGCACCCAAGATAAGATGCAGAGTATCTGGCTTGAACTAGCATCACAGAGCAGCACACTGAGTTTCAATGGATGTTTCCTTCTGCACTTTTTTTCTTGCGACAACAGGGCATGTTTTGTTTTTTCTTTGAGGGAAATTGTTTTTTTCAAGCTGTTGTTGGCCTGTGGAAAAATGTAATCATAAGAAATGACTCTGGAAAATCTGCAGATAGAGCCATAAGAAATGAATGCAACTGATTATTTAATGTTTAAAGGTAGGGTAGGTAAGTTTGAGAAACCGGCTCGAGATACACTTTTTGTTATATTCCATGGAATGCTCTTAACATCCCGATAGCAATGAATATCTTAAGAAAAAAAAAATCCATAAAAAATGTCATCTGTGGAAGCCGTAGTACTGTAAAAAGCACGACCAATCATCTGAGCCGGCCCGGCTAAAATAACTGGATGGCCTACCTGCCTGTGAGCCTTCCATCTGTGCACAAACTTATCTCGTGCCCTCATTGGTCATGTGCACGTTCGTGTGTGTTGGAGGAGGGGCTCTATAAGGAAGTGGCAGATTTTCTCCGGTTGTGTATTTTCAAATTCTAGCGATCTCAAGCCGGTTTCTCAAACTTACCTACCCCACCTTTAATGTTGTTTTTATGGGCAATAATTTAAGCTTTGTTAGTTATAGGTTTAATATGTGCAATAAGTTCATTTCAATACGTTTTGCAATAAACTCGACTCGACTTGTACCGATTTTTTAATTTTGGCCCACTGTGTATGAGTTTGACACCCCTGGTCTATAATAAGGGAGTCAAAAAAGAAATACAAACAAACACAGCAAACGGCCTTAAACCTTAGATATATAAGAGGGTAAAAAATGACCCAGTGAGGTGGTTTTTCTTGAAGTATCTTCGTAATTAAAATGTTTTATAATTTCATATTCCAGCTATTTTTCAAAGAACATGTTTTTGATATCATGCCATTCAAATTTTGAACTTACATTTTAACACATTTTAGATTTTTGTATCACTACCCTTCCATAAGTGGGTCAAAAATGACCCAAATGCATTTTCTCTAAGGAATCTTATGGGAACCTTTGAATCTTATCAACTGTGGCTGTCAGGAATACATTAACTGTAGACAACACAGACTACATGAGAAGTGACACTCTTTTTACTGTTTTGGTCGTTGCAGTAAATTAAAGGGTGTTTCATGATGTCGTTGCTGTGGACCATCTTAATCTCTTTGGGGGCCCCCCATGGTCCGGGGACAGGCAAGCCAGTTTAATATAAGGGAGGGTTAAGGTGGTGGAAGTAGGACTAACAAACACGATCAACGGGCATGGATTGATTAGCTGCAGAGTTTGGACTTGGGGGTGGATAAGAGACCGGCTGCGGTGGTTCTGAGGGACCGAGGGGAGGATGTAGATGATGAAGAGGATGGGGCCGAGTACTATTCTCTGGGGAAAACCTTGGGTGACTGAGGCTGTGGAATAGGAGTGTTTGTGGAGGGAGATGAAGTGAGATCGGTATTATCGGTCTGATTATCTTAATCTTTTACCTCAGAAAATATTTCCATCCATCCATCCATCTTCTCCCGCTTATCCGTGGTCGGGTCGCGGAGGTAGAAGTTCCAGCAGAGAGCCCCACACGTTCCTTTCCCTGGCCACATCAACCAGCTCTGACTGGGGGATCCCAAGGCGCTCCCAGGCCAGCGAAGAGATATAATCCCTCCACCTGGTCCTAGGTCTACCCCTCGGTCTCCTCCCAGCTGGACGTGCCTGGAACACCTCCCTAGGGAGGCGCCCAGGTGGCATCCTTACTAGGTGCCCGAACCACCTCAACTGGCTCCTTTCGACGCGAAGGAGGAGCGGTTAAACTCCGAGTCCCTCCCGGATGACTGAACTTCTCACCTTATCCCTAAGGGAGACGCCAGCCACCCTGCGGAGAAAACCCATCTCGGCCGCTTGTATCCGCAATCTCGTTCTTTCGGTCATGACCCATCCTTCATGACCATAGGTGAGGGTAGGAAGGAAAATGGCCCGGAAGACAGAGAGCTTTGCCTTCTGGCTCAGCTCTCTTTTCATCACAACGGTGCGGTAAAGCGACTGCAGTACCGCACCCGCTGCTCCGATTCTCTGGCCCATCTCACGCTCCATTGTTCCCTCACTCGAGAACAAGACCCCGAGATACTTGAACTCCTTCACTCAGAAAATATTTGATGTCATCAAATTGATATATTTTAACAACATACTTGCACATTCATGTGTTTGCATGTTAATATAATATATCAACAAATTAGCCTACTTTATAGTTAGCTAACACTAGCTAGCTATCTAACATGTATTGTGTGTGTCTTTGTGTGTGTGTGCACGCATGGTTTCTTCTTTTTCAATTATCAATATGTTCAAAACGTTTTTTTTCAACATGTTTAAAAAATATGTAAATTGTAAATAGTGAAAAAATACATAAGATAAAAAGCTTACCTTTGGAAGCAGTGGGCAGCAGAGAGGATCCAGTACGGGCTGATGATGGAGCCTCCACAGAGGTGATAACCATTGATCTGCAGACTGACCTGCCACGGCCAGGCCCCGTTCACTGCCTCTGTCCCCCCCACAATACGAGTACTGGGGTCGGCAGAACTCACTCCACATTCTGAGGTAGGAGGAAAATTGTTTGAAGACAACCCCAAAAAAAGGTAAAATTCCTTTCTCAAAGACTTTTGTCTTTAGAGGTGCAAACGCACTACAACGGCCCAAAACACTTCCATTTGAAAAATCGGCTACAGCTTCATAAACAATGCAAAAAAAGTGCCAAAAACACACGCACATTAAGAAGTATCCTCACAAACTTTACATTACACGCGCAGCATTACGAAAACATTCACCCAACTTGATGAAACGCGAGCAGCTACTAAAAGCGCTGCATACATGAAATGCTGCAAATACAAAACGCTATGCCAACAGTGACAAATTATCAACTGTAAAATCCCCAAATGTCACCAAGCGCCCCGGTCCCAGATATGTGCATAACTTTTTTATGTCCCAGTTTCCGTTGTGTTTTGAGCTTCTTGCAGCGTTTTGTGTTTGCAGCCTTTCCTAGCACATTGGCACGGATTGGCCACCGGAGGTTTGGTCACTTTATCCTGAGGTCTCACTGTGTGGCTGCCTAAATCCCACTTTCCGAAGAGATTCGATCATACCTCTTAATTGAATCAGAATCAGGTTTATTGCCATAAACAAAACAAACGTAAACATAACATAACATGCATTAAACAAGAACTGAGCATTGCCTTGTAATTGTTCATACATAAACACAGTAAAGTTAGATACATTTAAAGTAGAAAAAAGTACAATAAGAATATGACCATTTACTATGAAAAATTCATTATGTGCAATATATCAGAATTCAAATAGCTGTGGAGAGGTAGCATTCAATGAAACACAAATGACAGTAGTGTAGTTATGTTACAACTCGAGCAATAGCTTACCAATGCATTGAAGTTTGACTCTGGCTGTGCAATATGAGCTGCAAAAGAAAGAGTGACAAAAATGTATATTTAAATCCCAAATAAGATATTCAACATTAACTTAGGAGTTCTGACTGTACACAGCGTGTCCTGTGTACACAGTTATGATGCAGTGAAGGGTGGGGGGTACCTGACAGTGAGCTGTGAGTGTATAGGTGCTCCATATTTACTTCCAGGCAGCAGCTTCATGTATCCTCTGGAGGACAGAGAACCTGCGCTGGTTTGAGTGTAGGACACATAGTCCTGCCTGCACACAGGATCGGAGGGGTGGGATCAAATACAGTCAAGTCATACGATGTGTGTATGATGGAGGGTCCTCTCTGACTACAGCTATAGCAAATATTTGTGTACATCCACACAATGTAAGAAGTGCAGTTTTCAAGTTTCCCTTGAAATGTGTGTTGTGGGTCTATACAGTGCTGCTATTCTTTCAATCATTTTCCTTTTCAATGGTAAGTTATGGCATGATGTGTTGTTTTATTTTTCCTTACCGACAAGTACTGTATACATGAGGAAAATATTGAATAATTGTTCATTTAGGATGGATATTGTCACGCAGCAATATAATAGCTCATGGCTATAAACCAAGAAGTCCTGATTTGTATTCAGCCGTTAGACCACACTGTGCACAAGCGCGCTTGAAGAACAAAGCTACTTTTCCTACGTACAGTTATATGAAAATAAGGTATAGTATAATTGCAGTGTTAGTCATATAGTGGTGTAGGAATGAGTCCTAAAACCATGAAATGAGTTAGTGTTTTACCACTTCCGGTTCCCTATATTGAAGTCACGTGTTCTTGGTTATAAGCCTTAAAACGTAAGAGATTTTCACATTTTGTCCAACGAAATATGTCAGAAAATACCCCACTGGTGAATGTCCAAACTAACAAGTGACTAAATGAGACTACTTAAAGACATCACGTCGAATATTAGCCGCCTTCAGCTTAGCGGTGTTGACTTGAAGTCTTTTAACCGTGCTGTAGTTCCTTTATTACTTTACAGCCTAGCCATGGCTTTTTATATCTGGCAATTGCATTTACGCCTCAAAAATCATAAACTGATGTGTGGAGAATATCCTACAGGACAAAACGTTTTAAGGATCATAAGCTTTTCAGTATTCCAAAATCCAATGGAAAATCCCATTGCTTTTTGTGGAGGGAGCCCTTGCAATGCTAACTACCTGGTCGGTCAACCAAAACAAAACATCATCCCTGCACCACTCTATTTAGTGGCAAGCAAACATTTAACATTTATTTCATTTCTTAATGTTAAGAAGGTTCCATTTAAAAGCCCTTTCATAACAACTCTACATTTTCTTTGTTATTTGGATTGGATTGAATTTTCTTTCTTGAAATGTATTGGATTATATGAACAAATAAAGCACTAAACCGAGGGGAGGAAGAGAAACAGCACCTGTTGTAGCCAATATGCTCACACACAGCTCTCCCGTAGTTGTTGTCCCAGGATTCAGCACACACCAGCATCCACCTGCGGCTCTCAGGGGAGTAACCCTCCAGCAGGAGGTTAGTCCCATGGAGACGAACTGTGGATCAGAGAGAACAACTCTGTTCAGCCACCATCATACTGCCAGACAGGATGTATTTATGTGTGATGATTGTAATGTCTTACAGCAGTGAGACTCATCCTCTCCATGAGAACAGTCCTGTACACCATCACACCACTGGGAGGGGCTCAAACACCTTCCACCACTTCTGCAGGACTTCCCCAGTAAACACTGGTAGTATACTGCAAACAAACACACACACACACACACACACACACACACACACACACACACACACACACACACACACACACACACACACACACACACACACACACACACACACACACACACACACACACACACACACACACACACACACACACACACACACACACACACACACACACAGTATAAAGCACACAGGAATCTGATGAGATGATAACAAAATGTAAAAAAGTACTGAGATCCTTTATTTAAGTAAAAGTAGAAATACTATTGACTTGAAATACTCAAAGAGTTCATTGAGTTAAGTACAAAAGTATTATAACCTGATGAACCTCTACTGTCAAAAGTAATACAAATGCTGAATGTCTCTTTCTACAGTAAGTAAGTAACAATACTTGAGTAAATGTACTTTTAAAAATGAATTTCATGTAATGACGGAACTCACAGAAGTACCAGAGCAGGATGCCGGCGAGGGCCAGGAGGAGGAGCCCACACAGACAGCCACGCAGGACCCACTTCCAGGGACACTTCTGTTGTCCTGCAAGGGGGGACAAGAGGAACGTGCTGTGATAAATCTTAACAAGTGAAAAAAATGTAAATGCATGCTATTAAAGATTTGCACACTCACACTTAGATATACGGCTCTGCAGAAGAGACAACAAATACTGTACCTGACTATCTCAAATACAGTATAACACATAATACAGCATCAATACATTCAAGCCACTACCCCAATTATGTTAATGTTAATTCAAACCTTTGACCAAAAGTTGGACGTTTGAACACCTCATATTATCATTTTGACACCTTCATCTTTTTGTTTCAATTGAAATTCTATATTATCATTTAACGTTCAACTAATGTGTACATACTTTAAAACTGTAACACCTTCTTAAACATTACAAGCAGTAATCATAGCAGCCTAATAACCATCTTCTGTTTCTTTTTGCTGAAGAGAGGATATATTTGAGAAAAGGTGATATATTTTATTAAAGCTTATTACTCGTCTATGGCTGCCATCATTTTCAATGTTCAAATGTGTTGATATTGAACACAGCATCAATGGCAGGGGTTGTAGTTGTTTATCCAGTAGGGTGGAGCTTGCTTGAAATCGTTAGCAAAGCTAGAAAGGGATGTGATCTTCTAGAAAGTGAATCATAAGATTGATCTGCTTCTACTCCAATCATATTGCTACAGCCTGGAGAGTGCGCTCTGTATCACCAGCAGGGGATAAAGTGTGTCATATAATCAAGGGAAGTGAATCAGCTTTCTCCCACCCGAGAAATATCACCAATATGCCTCGAAATGTAAACAAACAAGATGCTGAAAAGCTCATGCTTTCATCGGAAGTGCAAACGACTGGACTTCTGTAATGCCATTTCTACAGGTCTACGAATAGAGCGGAACAAACAAAGAAAAAAGAGAATACCCCTGTATTAGTCTGCACTAAATTCCTTCAAAAGGTATACAACGCTCTAAGTCTGGCACCCTCTTATACCAATGATTCTCTACCGTTTAATGTCTCTGCTTCTAAATATTCCAGAAGTCCCCTAAAATAAAATTGGGAAGGCGGCTTTTATCCACTTCACCCCCAAACTGTCAGTCAACTTTTTTAAATGACAGATGAAAACATATATTATTTTCATTGTATTAATTTGTTCATATTTCTTTCTTACTTTAACTGAGCAGGTTACATGTTTGTAACATTACATTACATTACATGTTACTTGTTAGACGCTTTTATCCAAAGCGACTTACATACTCAATACTGTGGACAATCCCCACAGGAGCAATTTGGGGTGAAGTGTCTCAGGGACTCAACGACATGCTGACTGCTGTGGGGTTGAACCTGTGCTCCCTTGATCCGAACACCAACGCTCTACCCACTGCGCCACACGCCTCCGTAACTTTTGGATTATTTTATTGTATTAATTATTTTGACTATTTGACCTTCTTGTATTATTGGAATCATGTACACATGCTGTATGATGTGTGCTTATATGTTTTAAAATGTGACTTTAATTGAATTGTCTTGTGTTTTATAATTGTCTCATGTTCTGTTTGTCTTGTGTTGTCAGACAACTGTTAAAACACTTACAGCTCCACCCTGTTTATAAAAAGTGCTACAGGGATAAAGCTTTTCTATTATTTATTATTCCAAGGTGTTTCCAAGGGACTATCCAACCATTTGCCCCTCCTTTTATTCTCACATCTTCGTAAAGTCATTTTCTTGGCTAAGGAATAACAGCGCTGTTTAGTAAATGATAAAACAGCAGCAGGAAATGAGAAGAGTCTTAAAGTCAGCTCCTAGTCATACATTTCTAATGGTTTCCAGTGGTGGAAAATAACTGAGTACATGTACTCAAGTACTTTAGGTACAGATCTGAGATTTCAGTTTCTTCCCGCGGGCAGTGAGACTGTTAAACAATTGAACTGCTGAAACAATTTCATAACATTCATCTGCTACTTAGTAATATATATCTACTATCTAATATATATCATTCCAATAACTTGTATATAGACTCGTACTGCACTATTCCACTTTTTTTTCTCTCTCACTTATTTTAGAATTATTTTTCTTTTTGTATTACTTTGCTATCTGTATTATTATGTTGCATTGTTGGAGAAGCCTGTGACCTAAGATTTTCAACGACATAAATACTCTGTAGCTATGTTAGTTTGACAATAAAGAACCTTGAACCTTGAACCTTGAGATACTAGTCTTTTCTAAACAGTACTTTCTTTCTGAGTACTTACTACTCCACGACAATTTAAAAGGGAAAAACTGTACTTTTACTCACTTCACAGAAAACTATGAATATCTTCAAAAGATGATGTTTTTTATGTAGATTAAACCTAAAGTACACCTAAAACAATGAGTGGGTTTACAGAAACGTAAACAACATTTACATGAGCACATTTAAATAATTCGATCCTCTAATGTTTTCTATAGTGACTTTGTTTGCTGCCATAAACCAGTTATGGAACCAGACAGAGCCAAACCGCAGCAGCCAGATATCTTATTTAAACACAGAAGCAGGAGTGGGTTCTATCGCTCATTCATTACACCTTTATTTGTAAGAAAACATATCAAAGTTACCGAATCAAGCTTTAAGTAAGGTGGGGTTTCTGTTTGTACAATAAAAACAATTGAATGAAGATGATATGAACGCTCAGAGTGGATTCTTCTCTTGTATACAGATTTGTTTTACACAGTGCTTCACATAAAGGCTGGAGACAAAATATCCTCATGTATTACCTTTCCTCTGTGCGGGCTCAGGTGCTGCTGCGGGGGGGGCAGAGTGGTGGGTGTTGATGGTGTTAGGAGTAACGGCAACATAGCTGGGGATCTCTTGTGGAAGGCACGGGTAGAGACCCTGTTGGGGGCCTTCTGATGGGGGTCTTCTTTCCTCATGTTGAAAGCCTCTGTTGTCATAGATGGGACTGGCCTGGTACTGTGAAGAGATAGGAATACAAACATTTAATGATAACACAAGATAAACATCATTTTAATTAATCAATTCTGAGGTGAAGAGTAAACTGTTGAATATATTAAAATGTACAAATGTTGTCTTTACTTCTTACCTGATTATCGTTCATACTGAAACTGCCTGCGGAGGAGGACTGTTCCACCTTGATGAGGTTTCACAGGTATTACAAGAAAAATTAATGAGTCACAAGTCGTAATGACTGCACCTAAGCTGTAGCATTCATGAAAGCAATTTTCAAACCAAAACATTAGTTCCAGAGAAACAACATGAACACTACATACCCGAAGTACTCAGGATTTTAAAGAAACAAGCTCTCACAATTTCCAAAATACAGCCAAAAATGCTCACACACTCGGTTTACACACATAATGACATAATGATGGACCTACGTTGATATTCCCACAGATTCCCGCGGCGCTCTGTTCCCATCTGTCCCCCTCTCCTTGTTTTTGACCATTCCTCCATGTAATCAACAGTCATGGCCACTCCTCCTGCACTGTGTGCTCATGCCAGCCTGTTGTGTGCCAACTGATTTATTCAACACTTCAAAATGACATGTACAAACAGCAAATATTAACGAAGGCAAGCACCGATACTCATTATCTGCTGCCCAAAGCCAGGATATAAGATAAGGTGAATGAAGTGAAAATAATGAGCAGTCTTTTGATTTGTGACAGGGAAACCTCATTCCAGTACTACATTCAGCTGTGATATACTGTCACTTGCATGCGTTATGGTCCTGTATGTCATATTGTATAGGTGTATTGGAAGATTATGCACCAATATTGACAGTTTTCTGTCACATGCAGCCTTCCTTTTGACTTCAAAGAACAGTTTGTGGAGTAGGAAATGTACAAATCCTGTCTTGAAAGATTAGCCAAGTAATGAAGATGTTAGGCACTGCTCTATACAAAACAAGTTAACATGCGACAGGCGCTCACTGCTTGTTTATCAATCCAAAAGCTGCCATTCACATATGGAAAAAAGGGTTTTAGTTGAGTGAAACCGCATATATGAAGATGTTCTTACGTTGTGCTATTGTTGGTCCTCCTAAAGAGAAATGTCTGCTCATTAATCAGTAACGTCCAAACAAATATGTAAATAAGTAGCCTTTAAAACAGAGTTGGCCGAAAGGACTTTCAGACCCTGTGAATGTTTAACCCAGTGTTCTCCTGTGGCAGGAAGAGAAAGGAATGACAAGTGACAGTCATTGAGTAACAGATGAAAGAACAACCACACCTGCACCTTTTGATGTGTTTTAACATATAGGCCTTTGAAGAGAAAAAGGCTATGGATAATAAAGCATTGCAATAATAGGTGTTTTCTACTGGAGCCTGATTGTAAGCTGTTCAGGTTATTTAAAAACTAAATAAGAATAGAAACTAATTTACATACAGAAATAAAGAATCCTTTTGGTTTATATTTTTGTAACCTTTTGGAACAGTTTATCCAAATCACTTCATATTTTCGCCCTTACCCCCAGCAGTGTCTTTCCAGGTTTTTGACGAATTCGATTTTTTTATGTGCCGCATCTGATACATTAGATTCTGAAAATGCATTGTGTTTAGTAAGCTGGTAAAACTTTAAGCTCTTTAACAACAAATTAATAATTAAAAAATATAAAATAAAATATATAAATATATACTTGCAACAACAACAAACAATTGTATCAATCTTTTCAAATCTGCAGTGTAAAGGCAATATTGGCCACACAAAATGCAGCTATATCCTGCAGCAGTGCACCTGACATGGCTGGCCAAGTGGCACCATCTAGTGTCCAGCTAGAAAATGTAATATGTATTTGTCTTGATTATCAAGTAGAAAACATATACATGATTTAATCTGCACCTTATGTCAGGTAGACTTATTCTTCTATGTTTTTTGCATCTGTGATTATGAGTTTTCTACAGTGTTGCAGTATCACATGGTACCAGTGTTTTTCCATCCATTTAAAGTCAAAACTGTTCCTGCTCACAGATTGCAGGTCCACCCTTTAAGAAACTTTATGAATCAGACTATCATTATAATAAACTGAGGCTGGCCAACAACATTGTCTCTGACCACACCCATGTCCTGAACAGAGAGTATGAATAGTTGCCATCAAATCAGAGACAGTGTCCCATGATTTAATAAAGTTAGACTGAAGCACTCTTTTGTGCACCAGTTAATCCTAAAATGAAATACAGTTATTTCCCAGGTCTAATGTACATTATAGGGCCTTGAACATATTGTCCTCGTGATTGTAATGTTGTGTTAAATGTCTGTGTCCTGGTTTCCTGGTTTTTGTCCTTGTTAATGTTGTATGAGACAAAGTCTTATTGTACTTAGTTTCACATAATTATAGGTAAAAGATTCAGTGGATTTAGACAATCAATAACAGGACAGCGGTTTCATACAAACTATTTATTCATCTATTTGAATCCAGAGTTAAATATTAAACAGTTTTGCACAATATGTATCATTAAATAAAGGGCTGTTTCTAACACTGGAGCCACGATACCATGAGTCGAGCCCACTCTGCTCATTGAGTAAGGCTGCTGGTATAAAGTAGTAGCAGAATCACTGTTCACAGCAAGGGAGTTAACAGATGCTCGAACCGTTTGGAATTTTAACAAAGACTGTTTCAGGAAGAGAGCTCCCTACAGTTTCTGGATAATAACAGCTGAAGCTCCGCCTCCTCCGTTGCAGATGCCTGCCAGCCCGTACTGGCCTGACTGCAGGTTGTGCACCATGTGACCCACAATTCTCGCCCCAGACATCCTGAAGGGACAAAGAGAAAAAGTTTAAATTGTAATCCATTACATTTGTTTGGATGTCAAACTTTTTTTTTTGTGTAATTTTAATGAAAAACTGAGATACTTAAAGTCAACTGAAGGTAGATGTGAGGCAAAGGTTTGAATATAGCCTGAATTGTAAATGTAGTAGTGCAGGAATTAGTCCTAAAACCTGGAAATTAATAAGCATTTTAGCTCTTTGGGTTCAAAATCTGTAGTTTTTGGTTAGATGGCTAAAATAATATATGTGGTTAACACAACCTAAAGAAATTTTTATGCTTCGTTTTAAGACATAACATATTAAGTAAATAGCCCACTTGTGAATGTGCTAAACGTAACGTGTCATAAGAACGGCAGTTGCTAACAAGTGTCTAAATGAGAAATCTAAACATTAGCCACCTTTAGCTTAGCAGTGGTGACATGACTGTGAGGTAGTTTCCTTATAGCCTAGCTATAGCTTTTAACTTCTTTCGGTTGCATTTACACTTCAAAAATCCCAAAAGTGGGGTTAATATGTGGAGATTATTCTGCTGAACAAAACATGTAAGTATCATAAATGTTTGTCAGCCACAGATTTTTTTTATTCTGTTTTTTTTAGATCTAATTGCTTTATGTCGAGGGAGCCCTTGGGAAATTAACTTCCGGGTCGGCATACAACAATCTGTCATCACCGCACCACTTTAATAATTGGTCCGAGTTGCTTTACCGGGTCAGATTAAAAATGGTTGGGTTTTTCTGCATTCCAGGTTTACCAGTCAATGTTTAGGAGTCCCTCAGCACTTACCCAATGGGGTGTCCCAGTGAGACAGCGCCCCCGTTGACGTTGACCTTTGCAGGGTCGATGCCCAGCATCTTGATGTTGGCCAGCACGACCACGCTGAAGGCCTCGTTGATCTCCCACATGCTGATGTCATCCTTTGTCAGCCCTGCTGCATCCAGGGCCTGACAAACACACACGCATTTTATTTCAAGCATATTTAACCAGAATACAAACATAACACATGAACTAGCAGAATGTATGCCTCCACCAGATATTGTTTACATCCTTGTCTGTCAAAAATATCATAAAAATTATTGAATGATGCATTTAGGAAAGTATAAGTATCAGATCAGTCTCAGTATGAACAGATAAAGGCTGTTACCTGCTACAGAGATAGGGGTAGTGGTGTTTTTATTTTCATCACAGATTGAAATTAAAGGAGATAACATTTATTACAGAAGTTTACATTGGCAGATCCCCTTCGAGTTCATTTTTTGCCCTTAAACAAAGAAAACGTTGAATAGGGTCAACTTGAGCTGGAACATCTGAAAAGTGGCTGTATTTAACATCACGCTTTCCTACACAGCGTCCTTTTCTGAATTTTGATTCACCCACTCCAGACAACTGAAAAATATATAATGTTTGTTGCTGTTTAGTCTAATGCTTGAGAAACTCAGGCTAATGCATCTTATAATGCAAAATATATAAGCAGATTATAACATTCATTCTGTTGTTTCGATCTTTATACCAGTTATATTGAAGAAGCAATAATAAAAAGTTGACAGTAAAGGTTTTCACCGCCTGCTTAAACTCTTTTTTTTTTCAAAGACATACATAAGGGCCAGGACAATGCTCACACACACATTACAAACAGGACAATAACATGAGTCTTGTATTAATACATGATTTACTTCATAACATAGATATCCTTTCATTTTTAATAAATAAACATATATATATTTTTCTCCGGTTCTAAATGAACTTTCTCCATTTGGAGGCAGCTTCTTCCATACTTAAGAGGTTCAGAGAGTCCTTGAAAACATTTCAAAATAAATAATAAAATGTTATCAGAATTCAAGGACCATTTATTGTCTTTGTGCAACACGGGGTGGCACGACAAACTTAAAAATACCAATATCAGACTCACCTTTGGTACTGCAAATGCAGGAGCGATGGCGAAATCAATAGGTGCAACAGCAGCATCAGCAAAAGCTATGAAAAAAATATATTTAACATTAATCCTTCGAGTTAATAAAAAATATGACGATGTTTGTCAAGTGTGATTATGCGTGTGCTTACAGACGATCCTGGCAAGTGGAGTGACATTGAGTCTCTTTGCAGCATCTGCTGTCATCAAGACGAGAGCTGCTGCTCCATCGTTCAGCGTGCTGGCGTTGGCTGCCGTCACCGTGCCTACCATGCAAGAGACCAACGGGAAATGGACTTCATTTAAACAGCGCCTCTGTAGTCTTCTGACCACTCAAAGCGCTTAACACTATAAGTCAACATTCACCTAATTACATATACTCCACAATCAGAACAAAATGAGAAATATGGGCTGAAATGTTGATAATATTGCAAAGTAATTTGCAGCAGTTTAATAAAACTTGAATAACATGCACAGCAGTATATACAGTTAAAACAGGAGGGAAGGTAAATAACTAGCATACAAAATTAAAAGATGCAAAATAAATGTAACAAAATCTGTATGATTAATGACTATTCTGAAAAGCATGTTTAGTTGGACAGAAATGGCTTCAAGTGATTCCCCAATTCGAATGACAAATGACTAAAAGCAATGGTTACCGTTCTCTTTCTGGAACACTGCCCTCAGTTTGGGAACTTTGCTGAAGTCGACCCTCCTCCACTCCTCATCCTCAGACACGACCACATCCGGTTTACCTACAAAACATCACCAGAATCAGATATGGTGCACTTCTT